TTGTAGCAGTTTTCATTGCTAGTATCTGTGAGATATATCTATAAAGAAATGTTACAATGAAGTGATTAATAGCCTGGACTGTGGAGCCATCAGCCTTGGACTCCTGTTCTAGTTCTACCATTGGCTAGCTCTGTGACCTTCACAAGTTCCTCATTTTATTGTCATTTACATTTTACAGATGGGTGAATTGCAGCCTAGAGAAAATAACATGCTGGATCATGTAGCTAGGAAGTGGGTGAGCCAGACTTTAAATAATCCAGGACAGGCTGCGCTCTTTCTGCTATGCTTTCTGGTTGGGGATGATGACTGCTAAAGCACCTAAAGAATCAAAATACTATCAATGTGTGAATAATGGAATTGATGATGAAAGGGTCCATTCTTTCAACCAAATCATCTGAAAAGTTGTGGAAAGGAATACAATTCATAAAGGAAGCATTAATTTAGCAGTGATTCCTCAGTTGTCTTCAGTGTTCTGTAAGATAGTACTAGATTCTTATTTAATAAAATGCTCATGGGCAGATCAGCATGGGAACTGTGTGGTATGGCTCTGTTTTAGAGAAACACAATCCAGACTAACATATTAAAGACTGTGAGAAGACCTATGCCTAAAATAATAACACCCAAAAACTGTTGACTTTGGAACTTGTAGGCTCCACAGAAAAAAATTTAAGAAATAGTAACATATGTGCCTAACTCTTTATATAATACGTATGTATATTCCTAGGAGTGTGGGTAAATTAAAATCTTGGAAATCATATTTTGAAAAATAAGAAATATTGTAATTTAAAGGAAACAATTTTATACAGCAAAAAGCCATCCTCAAATTTATTCATTAATATAAATCTACGTTAATATAGTGGGTTTTCCTAAATATGTCTATAAAATCAAGAGGAAATACTAGAATTTTAAAAATTTATAACTCAGTTTTATTATTCTTGATAATTGAAAGGAAAAGCTAAAATGATATCTTTGTCATCAAGAAATTTTTATGCTTTTTATAAAACAATGAAACCACATTGTGAAGATTGACTCACACGGAACTGAGATGTTATCTGGATTCTTTCCCTTGCCTGTGTTTTGTTTTTGTTGTTGCTGTCATTTTTAAACACCATTTTGTTCCCCATTTGAAACTACAAATGAATTAGATAAAATCTTTAAGTAGTGAAAAGTCAAATTGCTTTTTCACTTCCTGTTTCATCTTGTCCTAATGCCGCCCTTGGTTAGAAAAGAATTAAATATTTCGATTAGTTATGTTGCACAAGGACAGAGACAGCTCTGAAAATGGAAAGGGTGTGGTTTTGAGAGTGAGACTGCCCTGGATATGAAATTATGAGAAGCAGCTACTGTGTGCCAGACACAATGATAGATGCCATTTACACTTTGTGATTTTCACAACCCTCCTACCTAAGAAGGTAGTATTTTTAAAAATGAAGACTTGATACTCAGATAGGTGAAGTAACTAGCCTAGATGCCATATTTCTTGTCAGAAGTCAAGAGAAGCAGCTGTGACTCTACACTTCATTCTACAGGGGTCCTGAGCTATAAAGAAACCTAGGTTAGAAGGGACAGGTGATTGCAGAGTATGTGGCAAGGAGTCTGTAGAAAAAGGAATTCTACATCCAATATCCCTTTTTAAGGACTGCAATCAGGAAGAAATTATTTTTCTCTGCGTGCTATGAAATCTAAACTTATTTTAACAGAGAAGCACATGGTTACATGTGGTATTTAGGTTCCAGATACATTATTGATTGGAGAAACTTTATGAACTCATCTGAAACACTAATCATCATTTATGATTCTATTTTTTTAGAAAGTGCATCCTAACTTAAATACAACTAGCTTACAGATATCTAGAACATAAGCCATTCATAAATCTGGGATTGCTATATAAAGAAATTTGCTTTCAAACTTTAAATTCATAACTCACAAAGTTGATTTCAGATGTATTACTTAGATGCCTGCTTTTATGCAATTTTTATTTCATTTCCTGCCTATTTTAGGAAAAGAGATTCTCATATTTATTTATTTATTTATGTCTGTGTTTTAGAGTCATTGCCTTTTTTGTATTTATGCATTTATTTCTCCTAGTTCAAACCCTTTATTTCTGAAAGATAGCAGCTTTACCAAGGTATTAATAAAAAAGATTTTAATAGTCCCAGGCAATTTGTTGTGTTCTATTCTATAGTAGAATGATGAGCAAGCTGGTTGTTAAAAACTTTGTTTTACTTTGTATACTTCATTTCGGCTGGTCTTTTTCATATTACTGATGTACCAAACCTTAGCATGGCATCTATATATAATATAATTGTATTTTTACCTAAAAATGTTTTATTTTCCAGAATTATTAAGACTTTTGCGTCAATAATAGTCAGAGCCAATAGCTAGCCATTTTATAGTCATTACCAACAGGGATGCAGTAGAAACTTTGAAAATCATTTTCGTGTGGTCGAGTGTGGGCAAAGGGCCATATATTGGGTTTTTATTTAGACCCTAATACAGAGAATTATGCAAATGTGAAAGCTCTATGCCCACCTACACACTACATTAAAGGAATATCTTAATGTTTTTTGAAAGAACTTTTTTAAACAATTGCACACTTACAGAAAAATTACAAGTTAAATGTCAAGATCTTCCCCCCCCAAAATACATGAGAGCAAGTTGTTTACATGATTCTCCATTAGCCCCAAATATGTTAGTATGTATTTCCTACTGTAGGACATGGGCTACATCACTACCACTCTCCAAGTCAGGAAATGAATATTAATACATTACCACCTTTAATCATCAGACTCTATTAAAGTGTTGCTTATTGTCCCAATAATGTCTTTCATGACAAAAGGAGCCAGTGCAGAATCCTGCATTGCTTTTAATTATCATTCTTTTTTCAGTTTCTTTCAAACTGGACCAGTTCTTCTTTTTTTTGTCATTTATAACCTTGACATTTTTAAAAATCATAGTCTCTTATTTTGTAGAAGGTCCCTATATTTGGGTTTGTCTGATGTTTTCTTGGGATAAGATTTAGGATATGCATCTCTGGCAGAAATATCACGGAAGTGATGCTAAGTTCTCATTGCATTCTGTCAAATGGCATATAATTTCGATTCATCCCATTACTAATAATTTTCACTTTGATCACTTGATTAGTGTGGTGTCTGCCCACCTTCTCGACTGTACAGTTATTCTTGTTTCCCCTTTGCAATTAATACATATTTTGTGTGGAGGAGGGGAGTGTTTTGAAACTATGTCGGTGTATTTCTTATTAGTCTTTCAGTTTACTCATTGATTTATTTATATCAATATGGACTCATGTTTTCCTATTTTATTCAGTGCATCAAAATTGGTTAATATTGCTTACTTTAAGGTTCAGGTTGTCTCCAGTTTGGCCAAGGGGAGCACATTCAAGATGGGTTCTGTTGTCTTTTTGACAGCGTTTTCATCATTCATTGAGTAGTTTCCTTGCTTTATGGCATAACAAGATATTTCAATCTCATCAGGTACTTTCTGTGCCCCAGCCTAGGAACCAGTCATTTCTCCAAGGAATGCCAGTTCTTTTTAATGGAAATAATACTTAGAAGACACGGTCTGGGATCTAGGTATACTCCCTGCCATAAGAGTACCACCATTAGGGTGCTGCTTTCCCCAGGCCCTCTCAGCGGGCACAGCAACACATATGCACATATGTGGTCTTATATTTCTTAATCTCTATATGTTGGAAACCATGAGTCCACACCAGTGTATCCAGTTCTAATCCCAACAGTGCAAGTTCATTCTACACATTTGTAACTCCTTTCTCTGACAGAGAGAAAACTGTCTTCTATTACCTTTAAAAATGCATTTTCTTTGATCAGTCTTCCTGAAGGCAGCCATTTTTCTATCTCCCCCAGATGGATGCTCTTTTCTCCTTGCGGGAGCTCTGACTCATTCTAGGCTGTCCCTTGCCCCGTGTGGCCACTCCTTACCTTGCTGAGGCTTACACAGCCCACATAGGCCTACGTCCTCAGGCTTTCAGTTCTCATGCCTGGCTGCCCTTTCCCTTATGCCATGTGGACACCCCCCTCAGCCCGCCTGTGCTCTGGCACCCCATGCCCAGTGCCTGTTCTCAGATGTCACCGGGCTCTGACACACTGTTCTGGGTCACTGAATGTATGGATTGTGTCCTCACAGCTCTTGGACTCTGACTCCCATGGCTGAGTCACATGCCAAATGTGTGCACTCTCCTTACTCTTTGGCTTCTGATACCTCGCATTGGGCAGCCACACCATGTAGACACTCCTCACTCTGCTTGGGCCTTGATCCCCCACACCAGACCACTCCCTGAGGAAAGATTCCCCCACGTCATCCATCTTCCCCAGCCCTTTCAGGCTCTGACACCTTGTGCCTGGCAGCTCTCCTACTCACCCTCCCCATCCTGCCTGGCTGTAGCACCTTGCTCTGGCGCACCACAGCTCCCCCCACAACCCCTGGCACAGATGCCCATGTTGGAGGGCTTCTCCTAATGTTCAGTAAGGGAAGGGGAAGAAGAAGAGCCAAAAGGCTTATTAAAGTATTATCATGAAACTGTGCTCTGAAGTGTTTTATTTAGAGGATCACTTTGCTAGCTATTATAATGAAAATCAGAGCAAAAAGTAGAATTTGACGTATGAAAATCATTTTATTAGAAGTTTTTTATATTAGGTGAGTTTCTTTATATGCCCTGAACTACTTCCTTTGATTAAATACTTTAAGCTCAAATGAGAGATCAAGAAACTAAAAGTTCTATGTCTATTCTAGGTGAAAGTGTTTTATAAACTATCAGTTTAATATCATCTTATCCTATCTATTTTCTCATATTTGATTTTGTCATTAACTATGGCACTTGTATATGAGTAGGATGAACCTTTACATATGTTCTTATATAAAGCAAAAAAAAAATTGCAAAAAGAAAAAACATAAAAATGTATAATGACCTTAAATAAACATGTTTGTAATTTGATTTTTTTTTTTCTATCTTGTTTAAATAGAGGAGTCTTCATTTTGGCTTCCCTTATATGGCAACATGTGCTGCCGCCTAGTCGCCCAGCCAGCTTGTATGGCTGAGGATGCATTTGCAGGATTTCTTAATCAGCAGGTTGGAGGACTTTAAATATCCTACAATTATAGCTACAATCTAGATCTTAATATACTGGCAGTTGTTTCACCTTCTGATAATAAGTATTTTTTAAAGTCTTCTTTTAAATGACAGTTTTCTCCATGTTAGACATAGAATGATGGGTGACAGGGTTGGGGGTGAGAAGGGGGGAAGGGTGGGGTCTGATGCAGTTTAGATGGCTAAGGAGCTACCTCTCCAGGTTCCTCTGTTTCATAAGAGCAGGAACCGGATAGTCAGCAGCAGAGGACTCCTTGTGGAAGCGGATGATGACTGCTCCACACCTTTCATAGAAGGGCCTTTCTGGCAGACAGCTTTTGGCACAGTTTAGTCCTCTGGGCTTCCAAGGCTGCCTCTGTGCCACCTACTCCTGATTTATTTATAACCAGAGTTATTTATATTCAGTAAATAATTAATTATGGGCTTCAATGAATCAATAACTTTTCTTTAAAAGATTCCATTAAGAGGAGAGAAAATTTGCATTCCTATGGGGTAGTCAACATTTTCCAGTGTTCTGAGAACAGTAAGGGAAAATTATATTTTGAGTATTGAGTTATTTTTATAATTTTTTTGAGTCATTAGATGGCTTGCTGTGGAATTTAAAGCACTAAGTTTGAATAGACTAGCTTTTCTAAAACTGCATTGATTTATGATTTTATGTGTGTAAAAGTTATGTGGTAATCTTTACCTCCATTTTGCTTAATGCTTTTGAGAATTCCAAACCTTTCTTCTGTGATACTAACTTACTCTGATTTTGGACTGTTGACTTATTGCACACTAAATTAATGGGTAACTCTATCACATTTAAAAATTTTTTTAACTAATGTAACTTTGATAATTAAGTATTTTGTTGAATTTAATGATGATAAATAATGATTAAGGTTGATGGTTTCTTGAATTTTTTTTCAGCAAATGGAAGAAAGCCTGATTAGTTGGAGAAGGTTGTATTGTGTTTTAAGAGGGGGTAAACTTTATTGTTTTTACACTCCAGAAGAAATTGAAGCTAAAGTGGAACCAGCTTTGGTAGTGTCCATTAACAAGGTAAATAAAATGCTATTTTGAAAATAAAGATATAACATTTTATAAAGTTTGTTCTTTTCTATACAATTCACATTGTTACCATTTATGGACAAAAGGGAAGGACTGCTAAAAAATAGGTTAGTTCAGGGGTGCCTGGGTGGCTCAGTTGCTTAAGCTTCTACCTTCAGCTCAAGTCATGATCCCAGGGTCCTGGAATCGAGCCCTGAGTCAGGCTCCCTGCTTAGCGGTGAGTGTGCTTCTCTCTCTCCTCCCTCTTCATGCTCTCTCGCTATTTCTATCTCTCTCTTCTAACTAAATAAGTAAAATCTTAAAAAAGATAAAAACAAAAAATAAAAAGTTAAAAATTAGTTCATAAAGATAAATTACTCCTATTTTTCCTCCATTACAGAGCTTATCCGGTAAAGGAAATACTGTATATTTCCTAAAAAAACATAGTATTGGAAATCTATACCAGTAAATAGGTTTTAAAGCAGAGAATGTAACTCCACATTAACATGATATTTAAATTTTTCATGAATTTATTTAAGAGATTATATAAACATAAATTGTTAGTTCATATTACAGTGATGCTTTTTGTAGTTAATATTCAAATGAACCCATAAAAAGACATTCCTGAGAATACTTCCTGATTTCTTATGTGATTGATGGGCAGTTGTCCAGCCTTGTGTCAGAATAGGAAAGCCTGATCCCTCCCCACCCCAACCCCTGCCATGCACACACGTGCGCACACACATGCACACACAAGCACACACATGTACGCACACACACATGCATGTGCACACACGTGCACGCACGTGCACACACATACCTGCATGCGTGCACACACATGCATGCACACGCACATACACACATACATGCACACGCGCACACACATACATGCATGCGCACACAAGCACACACATGCATGCGCGCACACACACACATACATGCGCACACAAGCACACGCATGCACACACACATGCATGCGCACACAAGCACACACACATGCATGCGCACACAAGCATACAGACACACATGCATGCGCACACAAGCACACACACATGCATGCGTGCACACGAGTACACACACATGCATGCGCACACACATACACACACGTACATGCACACACACATACACACACACATGCATGTGCACGCACACACACTTACACCGTCATCTTGAATTTATCTTCATCTGTTATCCAAGCCTAGTATTCCCCAGCCCCCTTTTTGGCATTCCTACTCTGGAGTACTTTAATGTCATTTCTAGAGCAGAATATCATGTTTTCTCTCCATAGACTGTACTTAATTGTTTCTAGTTGTTTTACTTTGCTTGCTTGTGGAGTGATTGAATTGAAGGCAATGGTAAAGCATGAGCCATCACATCTGTTAACGGTGCATGTTCTACTTGACTTTAAATTATCTTTTGAAAAAAAAAGTTGTATGTCCTGAGAAACATATGGATACTAGGTTGCTAATCTATAAGGACTTGAGTCAATTTCTCTGATCTTTTCCAATAACAACATTTGGTCTGTTTCTATCCTGCTTTTGGAAATTATACTGCTTTTTCTTAAAGGAAATTCTTCAGTGAGACCTTTTAAATTAAGTCCACTTAATTTATCCGTTTTGTGTATCAGGAAGATTAGTGCTGCTCTTAAATAATAAACCTCGATGTTACAACATGGTGAATTTATTTTGACTTAGATAATTAGGTTTATGAAAGTATATTTTTATTATTGGAAAATTGATATAATTTTTTCATTACTTGCACGGTGTTTTGTTTTGTTTATGCAGTGTCCACTTTTCTCCACCTTAGCCTTTTGAAAATTTCAGATGTGCAGAAGAGTTGAAAGAATAGAATAATGAACAGCTGTCATTAATATTTTCCCATATTTGCTTTCTCTTTACGTAGTTTGAGATTTTTTTCAGAACCATTTGAAAATAAGTAGCAAACAGCATAACGTTTCTTCCCTAAAAACAAGGACATTTCCTTCATAACCATAATATTATTACCACACTCAAGAAATTTATTGTTGATAAAATAATAATACCTAATATATAGAGCAAATTATCCCAATTGTCCCTACAGTGTTCTTGCTATTGTTTGTTTATTGTTTGATCCAAGACCCCCATCAGGGATCACAAATTGCAGCTGGTCACCATGTCGTTTGATTGTTTCCTTTTTTTTCTAAATTGGACCCATCACTCACTGCCCCTTTTTCTTTTTTTGTCTTTTATTATATTGACATTTTGGAAAAGTCCATGCCAGTCCCCACATCTGTTTTTGACTAATTGTTTCACTAGGATTCAGGTAGATGTTTTTGACAAGAGTTCTGCGTAGATGATTTTGTCTAAACTGTTTTTCACTAGGTACCTAGGTAGTAAAAATGGAATTCTACCAATTTTTCTCTTACATGTTGTACAATAGAATATGGATAGTCCTAAAACAAATTAAAATGTAATCTAGACAAAGGATATTTTAAAATTCATTTGTTTTATTTGAAAATAATTTTCAAGGTACTCATTTTACCATATCAGTCCTTTATGGCAGACAGAGCAGGTAAGTCAGCCCTGTTTTATAGGTATGTTATTTCTGTTTTATAAGTGAAGAAACTGACTCACAGATCAGATAGAACTTGTCTAGCTAGTAAGTAAAATTATATGGCTCACTGTTTTTCTATTTCCTTACAGACATACTGCTAGACTAGATTTGGAAGACAAAATTAGACTTTTTCCTAGCCCCATACCCACTCTGAATACGTTTTGAAAGTAAGAAATATCTCTGAAATGAGGTTGTGAGCCTGAAGCCACAGTTTCTACCTCTAGGCAATGGCGTAGACATGTGTTGAATCTTTAGCATTTAAATGTAAGAGGGCAGTTATAGTGGAACCCCTCTGTTACTGTAACCAGGGTATGTGTATTTTCTTGTCTGATGACAAGGGTGTAATTCCAGAAAAGCAGTTAACAGTGTTTACATGGCCCAGCTGAATTGACCTTTTTTCAATTGATTCATTTTTCCTTGTGGTTATAAAAGCTGAAGGCCTGGTGACTGATGTGATTCTGTAGTCAATCAGCTCCATTATTAAGATGCCTGAAGTCACCATACTTAGAAATCCCAGTGGTGGTTTCACAATTGACCATTACAAATTCACAGGAAAATGATTAATCTAGTAATTTGTATAGACTTGACCTTAGACTTGGGGACAACCATGGGCTATATTTGACCCTGAGGACTGATGACATAAATTGTCATTGTGCATGACTTTTGTCTCAAGTACAAAAGAGGATTTTAAGATTAAACCATGAGGTAAGGGTTAGGTTGAGAAGATTAATAGAATTTAGTTGCTGATCTCAAAGATTGAACTGATACCAAGGTGCAACATTCTCTAGCTTTGTGATGTTGCTGTCTTCATTTTCTCCAGGGCTGATTCCTGCCCTCTCTCTACAGCAGCTCTCCTGTTGGCAGTTCCTACTCCTACCTCAGGTTTCCCTTGAGCCCTTCCATTCACCTGAAAACTGCTCTTTAGCAGTAAATACCCTGGTTACCTTATTTAAATATGACTATCTGGGTCAAGAAGTCTGTTTGTTACTTCTGTAAGCCTGGCTGCCATGTAGTTATATCTTCTATTAAAGTCATTTTTACTTATTTTTTCTCAACTTAGACAATGATTCAGATTTGTGAAGAAGTTGAAGCAATACTGGAGTGACACTCATGCCACCTAGATTCAGCAGTTACTGTTGCTGTCCAGTTTGCTTTCTCTCTAGGTGTTCTTCTTGGGGGGAGTTGAAGCTCTTTGTATTTCATTTTTAATTTGTCTTATGACGGTATAGCTTACATAAAATAAAATTCACCAATTGTAAGTGTACAATTTGATAATTTTGACAGATAATATACAGTTGTGTAATCATTACTACAATCATTATTGGATTATAGGTTTTTTAAGCTTTTTTGGGAGAACATTTAAGTTCTATTCTCTTCACAGATTTCAATTATACAGTAGTGTCATCAACTATAGTCACTTTCAGACCTTATTTATCTTACAGCTGTGAGTCTATAAAGCCTCTTATCTATATTTTTTGCTGACCCGTTTGAACATAAGTCTCCAACATTGACACTTCATCCCCGAATACTTCAACGTGCAACTCTTAAAAATAGGAAACTCTAAAACAAAAGTATACATGTGTGTGAATGAAATTACAATACCATTATCACAGCTAACCAAATGAACAGTAATTCTCTTATATCATCTAATCATCCGGTCCATATTCACCATTTCCCCATTTTCCCTAAGACATCCTTTTAGCTTTTGCTTTCAATCTAGGAATGTTCAAGGATTATGCATTCTACTAAACTGTAAATTAGGTCTAGAGGCTTGATTAGATTCATTCTTAAACATCATTTACCACCATGTTTCCTGCATAATGACAAATACTTTATAGGGCATTCTGTTCAGAGGCACATGATGTCAGGTTGTCTCATTATTGGCAATGTCACGTTTAATGACTTGGTTAAGGTGGTGACCACTAGCTCTCTTCAGCATAAAGGTAAGTTTTCCTCTTTACTATTAGCAAGTAGTCAGTGAGGTGATAGTTTGGCACTGTGTGAATATCTTTGTCCTCCAATAGTCTTTCACGTAATAGTTTTATTACCTGATTGCCCTTGTCTGAATTGATTATTACACCGGAGATTGCATATGCTGTTCTCATAATACCCCTCATTCTACATGTATTAGCTGGCATTCTTTTGTAAAGAAGGACTTTTTCTCATCAAGTAGGAATGAATGAATCCCAGTCCCTCCTGAAAAGGCAGGGTGAAAGCTTACTGTTTTAATTACCAGTTTTCAGAGTAAGGAGTTGGTATTACTTACTGGTCTTGTACTGATATTGGCAGTGTGTATTGGAGCACTATTACTCCCTCCAGAAGAAGCAAATGGGTGTTGTGTCTGTTGTGTTCTCCCCGTACTAATGATAAACTCATAGATTTTTATTTATTCAATGTTTTAAATTACTTGGTTTTTAAAT